GCAACACTGTTTGTCCGTCCTGGTTTTTGGCGTCCAGATTATGGTAACCTGACTGAATGACTTCCCGGATTATCTCCAGATTTCCTGTGAAAAATTGCAATCATCAATCATCCATAGTCCATACAAATATCTGTCAACAAAATTTGCTTTGTTTTTCTGTGTAACCACGCCCTGTAGAAAGTCAGGTAGATGTCACCCAAATCCGCAAGCAAATGGAAAATATACAGGTGGACCCTCCACACAACATAATTCAAGGGAGAAGAAGAAATTTGTCGTAGAGAGAGTTTCACTGTAGGGAACCCATATAATGGAAAGAGAAACCTATGGGATAAAACAGATTTTTTACACCGAGGAAAACATTGTAGACAAGATTGTTGTAGAGGGAGTCCACCTGCATCCTCATCCTGGGTTTCTCAACTGGTTGGTGGAGTTTTCCATGAAAATAATGTATAAACACAGCAAATTGGAATGAAATGAGATAAGACCCATCCTCAACATAACTTAATGCACGAAATTGGTACACCATTTATTGTCAGCATTAAAAAAGACTTATTTGATATTCAGTGATCTTGGATTCATCTTAAAATCTTCTAAATACAATATCATAAATCTTCTTCTAATACCACCTTGAAATCTCCTTACACCATATTAAAATCTTATTCTCATCCTATCCAAGATGTTGGAGAGCAATAAAAAGGTACTTTATACCTATAAATAACTAATGTAACTTGGGGTACTGTAAGAACTTCGCTAAGGAGTTGAGCCAACAAGAAATTCTGTCCAAGTGCGTTAATAACATTCAAGTTACTCAGGACAAAAACCGAAAAAAGATTTGCCTCATAACGCCATGGGAATAGATTCAAGTCAAAACAATCACAAACAAACCAAATTTTTCGTCAGACCCGTCAACACACAACAAAATTCAAGCGTAACCTTTTCAACAGTGAAAAAAAAACCCAGTTGAGGACCTCGCGCGTCGGTTCAAACCAAGTGAACCTAAATGATGAAACTCTTTTATCACGACTACCACGTACCCTCTTTCGTTGATCGATGGAGTAAATTCGTTCTTCCATGTCTTCTCGTTTCTGCCGGCGGAGGCATTCCTGGCAATCGGAACTGCAAACAACATGGCAATCCTCCACGCCGCAATTGATACTGTTCTATCAACGCGTCCAAGCCGTGAACAACAGGTCCACCATCTACAAAGAAAAAAAAATTGTACTCTCTTCAAGCTGAAACAATACAGAGACATGACATCCCACGACGGTATTCTCAAGATAATTAAGTAAATTCGAATGCTGTTAATTATTTTAAAGGATTCTATCCATTTGAAAATGGTAATCCCGAGGGAAATTTTGAATGAATTTTTTTCTTCGAGATTAAAAGCAAAAGATATGGCGTGCACTCAACGCACAGGTCCTATACAAAATTTTATCGACCGTTTATCATTTTAAGACGACCAGCATTTCTGGATAATTCTATTCCTTGCAGATGTTTAGCAAAAAATTAGCGTGCATTCAACACACAGGCCCGCTAGGAAAGGTTTATAGACAATATCCCATCATTTTTGCAAGAATTGCAATTTGCAAGACACATATTTGTGAATAAATTTTTTTGCAGATTTAAAGCAAAAAAAGGTTTGCCCTCAACACACCGGTCCTCTAGGAAAATATTTTCGACATTTTAGCATGAATTGCACAACCTACATTTCCAAATGAATTTATTTCTTTCAGATTTAAAGCAAAAAATGGAGTGTGCACTCCACACACAGACCCTCTAAGAAAGGTCTACTATTGACATCTTACAATTTCAGTATGAATTGCAAGACCAATATTCCTGGATCCATTTCTTTCTAGCCGAATATTAGGTGTTAGCTCAACACACAGGCCCCCAAGGAAAGGTTCATGGATATTATATCATCATTTCAGCATGAATTGCAAAACGAATATTTTCTGATAAATTTCTTCCTCGCAGATTTTCAAGCCAGAAAATTATAAAAAAAATTGTCTTCTTCTATCAGTTAGTCGACGTGTTAATTACAACCAATGCTGCGTGAACGAGCCACAAATCATTCTAATCGCTCGTTTGAGATTCACTGCGAGGAAAAAAAAGATAAATTGAGGTAATCACCTTCCAAACGCAACGGATCACGAAAATTCATTAATAAGCCAGTGAAACGAGACCGCGTCAGTCATAAGTAATCTCGTGCAATTTGCTGTATGAAGTGAGGCCAAAAGTTTCTATGGAAATACTGTATAAAATCTTTCAAGACATGCGTTCGTTCTCAAGCAAAACTTGAACTTGTAATCTTGAGCAAAAATTCTCCTAAACACACATACGCAAAACGGATTCTTATACCTATGCTATAGAACGCGTCGTCACACAATTGCTGAATGATATAATGTTGAACTTCTCCTCCGAACGTCATGGATAACNAAAAAAAAAAAACGGAGATTAAATCATTCCGCGACGAAGATTCTACGCACAAGCATTTCTTTTAGCTTCATTCGATTTCACATTATTTGCTTGGTTTCTTTTGCATCACTTGGGTCCAAGCATTTCTTCAGGCTTGACCCACTGCTTGAACTGTTCTTCGGTAAGGTGTCCTAGGGCAATAGCGGATTCTTTCAGCGTGGTACCTTCCTTGTGCGCCTTCTTTGCAATAGCTGCGGCTTTGTCGTAGCCGATATGGGGATTCAGAGCTGTGACCAGCATCAGGCTGTCGTGGAGAAGTTTGTCAATGCGGTCCTTGTTGGCCTTGATGCCAACGACGCAATGCTGAGAAGCAAAATAAATAATTACTCAAAGAAAAACAACAAACGACTTGGAAATCATTGGGCTTCTTTGAATAAACAAGTACAATATTAACGGCAATACCATGCGTACCTTTTTTTTAAAATTGAGAGCAGAAAGAGGAGCGTCATAAGCGGGCATACTTTTTCTTTACATTCTGCATCATAAGTGATCAGAAAAGGATATTTTGATAAATAATGATTAGTTCAGAGAAAAAATAGAAAATTAATTTTATTTGGTTCCAAACTGAGCCAAAAATTAAATTCCGACATATTTTATTTCAAAAATGCTACAAATTTTTCATTAAAAATGGCGTGCATCTCTTTCGCGTACAAGTTTTATTGACATTTTAGTACGAAAAAAGTAAGGTGCGCGTTTTAGTCAAAGGGATGTGGTACTAACGCAAATACGGTTCATCAATCATCTTTCATTTTGGTGGACAAGAAAAAGCCGGACGAGAAGGAGGGAATTCGAACACATTTAAAAATGTAAGAGACTCGTCCCCCATTTAATAAGAATCACAACTATGGCATATTGAATATGGTACATTATCATTCATTTTGGTGGACAAGGCAAAAAATGAAGGAATTAAAACAGAGTTACACATATAAAATTAAAAAGAATCTGGCCCTTCGATATTTATTAGGAATCCCCATGAAGCCATCGAAGCCTGAATATTTTCCAAGGAAAAATACGTAATAAACTCTCGGATAACAGTAAGAGTTCCAAAGAATTTTCAAGGTAAAATTTTTTTACAATTACGGACGCACAAAAACATGAACGTTTTCAGGGAAAATGAACTAGTATAGGAGGCAGTACAGAAGGATTTCGAAAAGGATAGAGAGCTATTCAGTTATTTTTCCAGATATACGGTTTGACGAACGACCAAAAAATACTGGGATACAGCATTTCAGTCAGTTCTCATCGAAAACGTACCGGTACTGAATTCACAATTAATGCGAGAGTAGAAAGTGGACAGTTCGAATGTTATAAAACAAATTCCAGCCTCAGGACAAAATGCGAAAAATATGGAACAGAACGATCCAATGTTCGAGACCACATACCACGACAAAGCTTTGGCAGCTGTCGCCAATCAGCTCGATAGAACGCAACACATTTGCTACAATGACGGGCTTGAAAACGTTCAACTCGAAATGTCCATTACTGCCACCGACCGTTACAGCAACATTATTGCCCATAACCTGTAAAAAAAAAATAAAAAGAAGTCATCTCAAAATGAACGACGAATTCGCAAAGTGGAATTTCAAACAAGTTTCTCGGAAACACTTCGAACAAAAATCATGTAATTAAATTAATAAAAACATAAACTAAATATCCTAGCCGCACACTTCGAATAAACCGAGAAAAACTCAAATACATCTAGAACATAGGTAAATAATGAAGAACATGAAGTCGCGGAGATAAGTCATTACAGTGACACGAAACCGTCACGAAGATGAAGCATTTGTAGCATAAGAGCCTACCGTTTCAAAATCATGACAAATGATGGCACTAAATCAAGGTTTTACTGTATTATTAATACTAAAAGCAGTGCTGTCCAATATATGGCCCGTGGGCTGGATATGGCCTCAAGAGAATCTTCATCCATCCCACAGTCAATTCCTTATAATTTTCAAGGTGACAGCCGCTATATATTGAAAAATGAATTTCAAAATCGGAAATGTTGCTTCACCCTTCCAAAATTATACAAGGCTATGCTAGGGATTCAATCCATAGACTGAATTAAATCTGGAACTTTCATTCAATCGGTGAACATTTTGAACTTCAACAATCTTTGTCTACTGTGGCCTGCGAAGACTCAGCGATGTGGCCCTCAGTTTCAGAAAAGAAAGTAATAATCCGGCCCTTGACCACATTTGACTCGGCTGACACTCCAACGATAACAGCAATCACAATCACTCTAGCGACAATGCATTAAAAGCTGTCGCCAGACATCCTGCGGGTTCGCTCAACAACGCAGAACCAATATCCTTCACTTTACCAAAAATAACTTTTCCAATCGCGTCAAATATGAACGTCGAAAGTCGCAAACCTGAGCAGCCACCATAGTGATGGCTTCGCACTGCGTCGGATTCACTTTTCCAGGCATGATGCTGCTCCCGGGTTCATTTTCGGGCAAAGACAATTCGCCCAATCCGCACCTCGGCCCCGAACCCAAGAAACGAATGTCGTTGGCGATTTTCATCAGCGACACAGCAATCACGTTCAACGCACCAGAAACTTCAACCATTGCGTCGTGACACGCGAGGGACTCGAACTTATTCGGTGCAGACG